GGAGCTTGCAGTGAGCCAAAATCGCGCCACTGCACTCCATCCTGGGCAACAGAGCGAGACTCCGTCTCAAAAAAGAAAAAAGAAAAAGAGTAGTACACAGAAGATACAGAGAATTCCTAAACAGTAGTAAGAGAAAAACTCATACAGAAATAGAAAAAATACATGATCACCTATTTCACAAAAATGATTACTAAACATGAAAAATTGGGCCAGCTGTAGTGGTTCATGCCTGTAATCTCAGCACTTTGGGAGGCCAACGCAGGAAGATCGCTTGAGGCCAGGAGTTTGAGACCAGCCTGGTCAACATAGCGAGACCCTGTCTCTACAAAAAATAAAACCAAAAAAATGAGCGAGGCACATGCCCATAGTCCCAGCTACTTGGGAAGATGAAGTGAGAGGATCACCTGAGTCCAGAAGCTCAAGGTTGCAGTGAGCCCAGATTGCACCACTACACTCCAGTGTGCATGACAGAGGAAGATGCTGTCTCTAACAAACATAAAATAAAATTAAAAACCTCATTAGTAATCAGGGGAAAGCAAATTAAAATGCCAGTGAGATACTATGCATAATATAACTAAAAGATTGACCCAAATCAAAAAGTCTGATAATATAAAGTGTTGATATGAATGCAGAAAAATGGGAACTCTCATACTATGCTGGTGAAAATTAAACTGGCAAAGTAATTTTGAAGAGCGGTTTGACAATATCTAAAAAGATGCACATATCCTATGACCCACTCCTGGGACGTTATGCCCCAGAGTAGCTTTGGCACATATACTACTGGTCACAAGTTCATGACAGATGACGGCAGCACTGTTCGTAATAGCATAAAAGGGCAGGGGAGAAAGAAAAGCCTGGAAACAATCCAATGTCCACTGACAAATTGAGAACACATATATAAATCATGATGTCCTCATAGGATATAATGTTATGCAGTAATACAAATAAATGAATTATAGCCACCAAGCATAAACTTGGATGAATCTCGCAACCAAAGTAGAGCCAAGGAAAAAAAAAAAAAAAAAAAAAAAAAAAGCCAAGTTCCAGAATTTCACTGCAGACTGCCTGAGACTACTAGACACCCTGAGGACTTCCTAGTGACCCCTAGTGACTACGAGGAACCAGTCACCCAGTATGATTCTATTTCAATGATGTTCAAAAAGTAGGAAAAACTAAACAATGGATTGTTTTGAGAGCTACACATATGTGATAAGCTACAAACAAAAGTAAGGAAGTAAGGGATCAATGGACAGAAAATATAGAATATGGACTGTGCAGGAACAGGGGCTGCCATGGGGAGGGGCACATAGGGGCTTCTAACTCTTGGTCAGGCTCTATTTATTCAGCTGAGTGACTGCTACACGGCGGAGTTATTTTGTCATCATTCTTTACATTGTACATATATATTAAACACATTGTTACACGGATATAAGGTAACAGTTTTTGTTTTTTTTTTTTTTTAATTCCCATCTTTGATGCAGACAGTATTGAAGAGCTAGAGGAGGATGCCTCTGCAAGTGCCCTTGCTTGGCGCCTACCACTCCTCAGTCACCCCGGGGTGTCACACTCACCAGCAATCACAGCCTCACACACATTATGAGGACTGACAGGCCTGGAGATGTCACATATACAGCCCAACACTGCCACAGCCACATGTAAGGACCTGCACATGTTCACATCCGCAGCTGCCCCTGCAGTTACAGTCGCCAAGCCACCTAGGTGCAAGGACATGCACCATCCTTAAAGACACAATGCAGCAGAGAGACATCATGGCTCCTCTCCTCAGGATGACACAGCTCCACAAAGAAACAGAGAGAAGCAGTCTCAGGAACACGCAAATGAAATCTCAGGCACTTGGTCCAACAGAACCACTACGGAATGTGCACACGGAGATGCGAAGACCACTCCCTCTCAAAAAAAACGAAATCACAGAGAGAGTGAGAGAGAGAGAGACGCCCATAGGCCATGCCAACACACATATAAAGATTCATAAATATACACACGGTGTCACCGAGAAAACAATCGGGCCCACAGAAGAATCGCGCACAGAAGTATTCCGGTATCACACACACTACACACCCAGACGCACCACGGCACCTTTGTAGGACACTTGGAAGCGCTCAAACCAGAGACCACACACTTTCAAGGACACGACACCTCCACACCGCTGTCCTCACATCACACGCACACACACCGATACGCGCGCGCCCTTTCTTAAAGCGCCTTAGTGCCGTGGAGAGCGTCACAGGCACCGGGCTCGGAAAGGTGGGCAGGGCAAGGTTACCGGCGGCGCCCGGGACAACGCCACCCGCACAGGCAGAGACCGAGTCAGGTCTCAGGTGTGCCGGCGTGGCCTGGGCG